GCAGACAATGTAGCAAAAACAGAGAAAGTGGGAAAACAAAAGCCAAAGCGTGAAGTGCAGTTATTCGACTCAGTGAGCATAAGCTGGAGTGTATGACGGTTGTTTCGGTAGAGATCAGAGGAAATGCCAGCGTCTTTGGACGTATCGTCTAAGACCCCAAAATTCTGGTATCTTGGTTCTCTGAATCATGGCAACGGGAAAATCGGAAGAGAACTAATAAGTCGATAAAAAGACATCGTTCAAACGGCAACAGATGAGCTGAAAATCAGACGATGGTAAACAACATTAAATTAAAGGCTGGCGCTGGTGAACAGTGCTAAGGTAGTTACTGCCGTGCGAAATGAATGCGCTGAACAGAGGAGCAACAGCTGAACTCTACAGAAACACGTGCTCAGGAATGAATGCGTAATGGATTCATGATTGATAACATTCATTAACTTTCAAAAGAAATGACCCCAGCGACAAAGAAGCTGACCGACGGTGGCTTCCGTTGGTTCGATCATATTCAAAAGTCACCTGTGGATTATGTCATCAATAAATTTCAGTCACTTATGATATTTGGAGAAAGAGAGAAGGTGAAAGCTGAATGTAGAGCAGTGTATTGTTAACTCTAAGATGACTGTGGACTTGACCTAGAATCAGAGAATCTCTGTTCGACATCGTTGTTTTACATGCGAGCCAACAGCTTGACGAAACATGATGCTCAATCGAAGCGGATTCGATGCGCAGCGAAAATATGGTGCGGCAGCTAAGTGTACGCCATGACACTATGGCCTGCGCGCGAACGCGGAACAACAGGTTGATAGGCCACACGCAGTTGCTCATGCTTCGATGGTTTCGGTGCAGTTCTGTAGCTCACGCTAGCTGTTTCTATACAAGTCAGTGGCTTTAAAATTTTTGCATTATTTTTTAAGGCTGTGTGAGCCCATACAGTGGTGGTGAAAGTACAACTTAACGCTATATAAAATTCTGTCACTTCTCCGGATTCACACGGCGAAGGACGATCGTCCACTTGCTTCTAGTAGCCTAGAAGACTGTTTAAGCAAGTCACGACTCCGTGGTATTTTAGCACCTGTAGTAGATGAACACAAAACCACAGACTTTGTGGGTCGAACACCAACGAATACACGTTGATCCGTAGACATATGGAACAAAGATTAACCCCGCTAGTGTGAGTTTACCAGCAAACGGTTAGTTTTCGATATCGCTAGTATTCACTCCTCCGGATTCACATGATGTAGGTGACCGTCCCCTTGCTTCTTGTAACCCATGAAACCGTCAATTCAGAGATTTGATGGGAGATTGTTATTCATGCCGGCAGTATCGAAAAAATCTACGTTTGCTGGCAAACCCATAATATCGGGGCTAATTTTTATTATAACCTTGTTTGAATAATGCAGTCTAAGTTGTTTATCGAAGTAATCAACTTCTGTTAGCCTTTTGTTCTGCTTCTCACAAACCGTCTTCAGCGTGAAGCTTGCTGTTGTTGGCCGCTGGTGATGCTTTGTAAGGTTTTTTTAGATGATTGCTCGCAGATTTGTAACATAAAATTGTTGAGTCTGTACAGCAATATGATAATGTGGTGAGTGAATTTGGATAAGAAATATCGATTACCAGAAATGTAGCCGTTTGTTCGCACTGAACTGCCTTTCCCGTTGTAACTGATTCATAATTTTTTACTTGTTGGAAGCTGAATGGCGCTTCTACACCTGCAACAGTAATTAAATAACTGTACACGTCACGCGATTGGGCGCTTACTTGTTGCGTCATTTTTGATATCTATTATCGAGTCATGTATTTTCAGGGAAATGTCTGTCAAACTGCTTCTGGTTTTGCTCATTTGCATATGCGGCAGGTTAGTAACAGGACATAAAAGTGGTGACGTCGAACATGAGGAGCATGGACCTCGTTCTCCTCACGAACGTATCTTAGACGAACATAGTAAAGAAGGTTATTATGCGGACCACAAAACAATCCTCGGTATTAATTGAAATATTTTGCATCTTGCTGCAGTGTGCTTTGTGGGTCGTTTGCAGGTTCGAAGAAAACTGCCGAAGAATTCGATACGTTGTCGCCGAATGAGTCAAAGCGTCGACTACGAATTTTAGCAAAAAAGATGGACATTAATCAGGACGGATTTGTCGACTTTGAAGAGTTGGTCGAATGGATCAAGACGTCCTTGCGACAGCTGGATGAGGAAGAGCTCGATGAACGCTTTGAAGAGGCGGATGAAAACCATGACGGAAAGATTTCTTGGGAAGAGTACAAAAAGGAGGCGTTCGGCGACGATAACGATTTCAGCATGGAAAACCCGGATGACCGGGTATTGTTAAGTGTTGAAGATCTGCTGTCAAATTTTTAGCATTTTATACTACCCTAGTTTTACACTCGGTTGGTGTAAAATAGCTAGATACGTTGCTTTGGTCTGGAGTCAAAGGGTTGAACATTAGTAAGGTATCTCGATCGTGAAGGTTCAGATAACACTGGGTGAGTGAGATGCACAGTGAACACGACTAAATTTCATTCACATCCTTAAGGTGGCACGTATTCCTGAAGTGTCACGGCATTTTGTCGTCGTGCGATCACCCTTTTGAAAAAGACTCTTTGTTTTATTGTTAACCTACCTGTCACAGAATTTGGTTGTCTCGATATATCTTTTATCCTTCACGGCTTTGGCTAAGAAATCACACTAAATTCATGGAACTCACCCACGTACATAAAAAGATTGATTGAGGATCTGTCGTAATAGTATACAAATATGCGAAAGGTTGTTTGTCTTCATTGCTTCTACCCTCGACCACGATAGTATAAGTACATATATTGTTTTGTATACAAACCTGCCTTTTCAGCGGAATAATAAACTTCACTGCAACCCAGCTTCATTGATCGATGTTTTACAAGGGTATGTCTGATATAGTGATCGGTTTTCGGAGAGTACAAAAGTAAGTGCAGAAATGTAGAGGATGGCATAGTTTGGTTCTTAGGATTTTGTTTTTTTAGAAATCTTGGCCGACTCAGCTCTAAGACTGTAAGATTTAGTTCTAGTGTAGTCGTTTATCTGATCAATTAAATGAGAGAGCTCAACAAAGAATCTGGAAATTTGTAATCAGGCAGCGAGCTGTTTCGTCCTAAGTAACGACGCCTTCGTTGTTTTTGTTTTTTTTGAGAACAGCTACTCGTGTTTAGTGTTGCTTTTAGAAACTCATGGAAGAGGACCGTCGTTATTTCACAGCAGCCGATATGGACGGTAACGGACTTTTAACGAAGGAAGAGTTTTATGCGTTTCAGAACCCGGAAAACCATCCTCACATGCACAGGTCCTTGATCGACAGCATTCTCAAAGAGAAGGATAGCAATAAAGACGGTTTCATCGACATGAAAGAGTACCTTGGTGAATACGGTATGTAAGCAATGATTACTTGTTGCATATATACAACGTATTGTGACTGACAACGACGTTGTTTAGCGCACACGAAAGAAAATGAATGGTACTCTATCGAGCAAGGTCGTTTCCGTGAGTACGACAAGAACGACGACGGTAAGTTGGATACTTCTGAAATGAAGGACTGGCTCGTGCCAGACGTAAACGAGACGGCGAACGCCGAAGCCAAACATTTGATGTCTGAGGCTGACGCGAACGACGACGGCAAGTTGTCGTACGTCGAAATAGAAAATCAGTATGGCCTGTTCGTTGGCAGTGAGGCGACCAGTTACGGCGAACAGCTCAAAGACATCGTCCATGAAGAACTTTGATGGCGTTGTTGACTTATTGCGAATCGTAGCTTTAAATAATTTTTGGGCATTTTTTAACCTTTGTTCGGCAGATTTTCTGTGTTCGAACAAGGCTATTAGAAATTCACTTTTTCTTTGTCGTGTACTATCGAATTCACTGTTTTATAAATAGTGTTCTCTTCATTTTGTTGGTATGATTATCTAATACTTGTAGCTGAAATTTGTTAAACTGTTTGCAGAGTGTAGTCTAATCTTATATATAGTGAGATATACGTAATGCAGAAACGCGGTGTACCAAAATGAATTTATTGGCCGTTTGTTTCAACAATAAACTTACCTTTTAATAATATTGAACATACGTTGGGATGTTCGCTTTGTAAAGCGGCTGTTACAAAGCGTGTTTTTCGACTTAACAGGACAGCACCGTGTGTACTGATTGAGAGATTATAAATTACCGTTAATATTCATAGACGAAAGATCACTCCGTTTAATAACGTTAATACAATGAGTCCTGCGTGTGGATTAGATAAGCCTTTTCTGACCAACGACCTGCTTAAGATTGTCACGGTAAATTCACGCGCATCAAAATCACACAACCTCCAGCAAAAGCCTGTAAAGGATCGAAACATCTGTATTAGCTGTCGACCTCTTCCACCTGCTACACGGATCATTTAGAGCAACACGGCATCGTATTTTGTGGTAATGGATTGCAGTTTGTCTTTCGTATATACACCGAATATGTTCTTACGCCGGGGTATGTCAAATAACTCTTTCAAGACCAGGTTTCACGGTATACTGCACTGTCTCCTTCTTAAGAATATGGTCTTGGGAAAGTTATGCGTTGTTTGACATGATCCGGCGTATGAAGATATTTGATGCTTATGCTGTAGGATAAGGAGTACCAGCTTATGAAACGTCGTTTGAAATGAGCGCTGGGTAGCTCTAACGAACAACGTGAGCGAGATGCATCTGGCTTGCCGGTGCCAAAGAACCATGAAGCCGTGATCTGCACAAATCTCCCTTCCCAAGACAGGCTACCAAAAGCGGTACAGTATCGCTGCAAAATCTTATATTTGATTAAGTATGCGTTAACAACTTGTATTTCGGAACAATTAATCCAGTAATGCTTAATATGGGAACAATAGGGAGGGACGCCATGGTACATTAACGTGGTCATACCAGGGAATGCAAGTGGTACTAGCACGTTGCTGTCTGACGCTTGCGCTTTGCAGGGGCAGTTTGTCTTGACCTACTGAAACCTGAATAAAATCAACACGCTGCAGGCCGCAAATAAACACATCTCAGTAATTTTGGAAGGTATACGACTTTATATCGCTTTTATGCGCGGAAGTATGCACTTAACTCTGTTTTCATAGAAAGAGAACATTACACTGCAGCATCCCACATACGAATGTCGTTCCATACACGCGTTTTTCCAGCTACGTCGGGTTTATGCTTTTTCGATTTTCACAACTACCGTTTTGTAGGACAGTACTTCTACATGGCTTGTTTCCTATGAGAGGAAAGCAATCTACAAGCAAAACTGATAGTGAACCAGCAAATAAAGTTAAAAAGAAGTGATACAAGCGATAAAAATGAGTATTTTGAAAGACTCCAAGAAGGTGCACGTTCGCTGGGTACCGGCTGATCGCTGTCAACAATTAAAATGAAGCGTGATGCAGGACAGTTCCTATTTATGTAATAAAGACTATCGCGCGAGAAGTGTTGTGATTATAAATATGCATACAAAATGTGGTAGAAAAAGGAAACAAGACGCAATGTGCTCACTAGTAAGCTAAAGCTTTTAATATATACATCAGTTCAAGAGAAAAAAGATGCTGAACTATCAGCAGAAATGTAACAGATCGAAGTTCATTCAATAGATATAGGAAATGATACAACATAGACAGTCCTAAAATATTGAATGTCTGAAGAATTTTCTGATATGCAAAAAATAGAGGGATATATATCTAAACAGAACCTGAGGACTAGGACTACTTCTACACAAAATCAAGTCACTGCTAGCTTGCAGTGCAACAGAAGATCACAAAATTAAGTTTTCTCTAGAGTATCTGGAACTGTTGAGATAATAACATTGAGTCTCCTGCAGAAGCCAAACATCTCCGCTTTGTGATGTCCACCGCAAAGGCAGCTTTTCAACACTTGCTATAAAACACTGGTTACTGCATCACAGAAGAAAATATTCCTACGCAAGCAGATGTCTCTACATCGTTCCTCCATCTTGCATGCTGGCCTTTTGGTCGACGTCGGCCGTGTGGCTTCTACCAGTTCAAGGGCTGAAGTAAATGCTGCATGCTCAACCAATTTATCTAACACGGACAAACTTCTTTCTTAATCTGCACATCTACAAAGGTCACCTGTGTTAAGAATAGTCATTCCCTGCATGAAAATACTATTTAACCTTCATTACGAAGCCAACGCGACTGTACGTAGTTCCACCGTTATTCTTGCACATTCCCTCCAACAACTGTCTTAATGCTGTTCAGCATCAGTAACCTGACAGAAGTAAGGTACAGATGGATTTTCGTGGGAAAAGCAATTCCTTTCTCAGGTCAAACATTGGAAAATTTTTCGACGATAATCGAGATTAGCGCGATCCTCGTACTGGTTGGAGTGCCACTGCTGGAGTCGAGATACTTAAATTATCTCCTGAAGAACTTCACCTTCTTACATGTAAGCTGTGTAGGATTGATTCCTAATAACTTTTGACGTCCGCGCGTTAAGGAAGGCTTTCGCAGTCACTGTGCACATGTAATTCGTCATGTCGCAGTGCCAGCCCCGTACCACTCACCACGACAATATCAATTGCTTACCGCGATACTCATCTAAGTCGATACTTTGAACTGCAACTTCCTTCTGGAATGATACTTTTGTCTTTTCCAAAGTCAGCACTGTTTCAGCGAAAAAGATCGAGAACAATGTTGAAAAGTGGAAGCACATTTTCCTACCGAACTCCACGATCAATATGTTATCATTTAGATACCTCTCTTTCAACTTATACGACAGACTCTATTAAGAATAGCTCCTTCGAGAATCGAAGAACGCATCGGGTACCTGGCACCGGAAAACTTGTGCAGAAAAGTCAATGAACGATTTGATAATCATATCATCTGAGTTACGACGCTCTGTAATTGACGTTCGTATTACGAGACGCAGAGCTATCAAATGATCATCATCTTGCTGCACACTACGCTGTTAGAAATGGTGTACCATACGGAGATATGGTGGCAGAAGTAACCAGAGAATCAAAATGGAAATATTATGTTCCACAGATATGAGCAAAACTTGCAAACAACGCACAACGGTTTGAACAGATCTTGGTGATGACCGCTGGTGTAGAAACCGAATGGAAGCTCTTTAACAGCGGCATACTCTAGCCTGCTGCTGAATGCTGCATATTCCAAACGGATTGGCCTGCCGTCCTGAGGTCAGAAATTAACTTCGTAGTGGACACCAGAGGTACAGATGACAGCAAATAAGATGGCTGCATTCAAAAAATGGCTTAGGAGCAGTCTTTTACTCGCATGTGATTTGTAGAAGTGCATGCACAAGGCAACAGGGAAAGCAGTGGCGAAAGCCAAAGATGATTCCTGGGTGAAATTCGATGAGCTGTTGAAGTCGAATTTCCAACATGCAGACAAGGTACTCTGGCAGATCAGGACGCCGTTTTAGCGAGGATGAGAACACTCTTCGACGATGGAGAAATTATGAGGAACTCCTTACCCCCGAACAACCCCACCGAAGACTCGCCTTTAAATCAGAAAGGAACAGAAATTACTACCTTTGCAGATTAGATCACACAAGCTGTGAAAAGTGAAAAATTTCTGCAATTCACGAAAATAAACGTGTCCGTCAAATCGCAGCGCCATGAGGAAGACACCAACGGACAGGAGAAGTGGGTTGTAGCACCACTTTTCAGTAAAATACCACAGAGTGCTCCAATTATCGGGGCATTACCTTACTGATCCTCCCAAGTAAGGTCTGCGAAAAAGTGCTAGA